ACCTGGGGGTGACTGTCCCCACCAGCAACACAGCAAATCAGTCTTCCTGGAGGCGGTCAGCCTCCCGAAAAGTCTGAAAATCAGGAAGTGACAGAAAGTTCTGTAAGACTCTGCATGCTTTCCAAGCAGAAGCTGAGGTCCTTTGAACCCTGTGATGGCAGTAACCGTTTCTCTGGGGTGGCTCATACAATTTCAAGCCACGGAAGGAGGACAAAGCGCTCCTGCCAACAGGAGGGACGACACGCCTCTGTGAGGAACCTCCTGGTGGGCTCTGGGCTTCCTGGCAGCCACAGCTAAAACGGAAATTTGTTGTTGTTGTTGTTTTTTGTTTTGAGACAGAGTCACACTCCGTCACCCTGGCTGGAGGGCAGTGGTGCAATCTCGGCTCACTACAACCTCTGCCTCCTAGGTTCAAGCGATTCTCCTGCCTCAGCCTCCTGAGTAGCTGGGACTCCAAGCGCCTGCCACGACGGGGGTTTCACCATGTCGGCCAGGCTGGTCTCAAGCTCCTGGCCTCCAGTGATCCACTTGCCTTAGCTTCCCGAAGTGCTGGGATTACAGGTGTGAGCCACCGTACCTGGCCAGAAACATGTATTTTTATTGAAATTGCCTTCAACTCCCCAGAAAAGCTGGAATGCTTTCTTCTTTCAATTTTTACACACACACACACACACACACACACACACACACACACACACTTTACTCAAGTTGAAAACGTATATGGGGCAAAGGAAATGGACATTGTTGACAGAAATCTAGTAGCCCCTTTACCTGATTTAGTTCAATCCTTACAACAAGCAATATGATCTGTTCCATGTTTCTTTGTTACGAATGAGGAAATGAAGTTACAGGGGCAGAGGGACCTTCCCCAGGAGGGCCGCCAAGTAGAGGAAGAGCTGCTGTTTGCACCCAGCTGGCTTGACTGCAGTGTGGCCCCCGACGCTGCACAGTGCAAACTGAGGACCCACATCCTGAGGCTAAGCTGGGGGAGCCAAGCACATGGGCTGCCAAGGTCTGGCCTTGACCCCAGAGCAGAGCTCACTCTCCTGCTGGGAGGAGGAGACAGGCATGGCAGGGACCTCGCAGGCCTACAGCGAAGAGGCAGCCACAGCTGGCAACACCAGCTTGGAGGGCAGACTGGGAGCTGAACCCCCAACCCCCGCCGACTGGCCACTTCTCTCAGGCAAATGTCACAGCTGCATTTAACAGCACCGGGCTTTTCGGTATGGCTTCAACTCTCACTTTAAAAATCTCACTATTCTCCATGGGAAGTGGAGAGGCGGAGAAAGGAAGAGACAGGACCTGCTCCTCGCTAGTCTTTGATGAGGCCCTAGTTAGGGTTGTACAGATGAGACACACAGAGCGCCTCAATGTTCCCTCTGCAGAGGGGAGAGAAGCGGGGCCAGCTTTGGAAGCTTTGCGAAAGCTCACAGGAGCCAATGTGAAGAAAGAGCAGCCGTGGTGAAGCCATTCATGGCACTTGCTCTTGGAGCCTGCATTTCTCCTGAATGCACGTGGTCAGGCTAAGACTGCGGTCCTGTTCGCTCTGCAGTCCCGACGCTGGTAGAGCCACCACAGGGTGGGCTTGGCGGGATGTGTCTCTCTTGCTCCCAAGTTCCCTGGTTCCCCACCAGCCCTGCAGGCTGAGTGGGGAAGCTGCGATGAGTCTACCTGGAAATGGCTTTGGAGCCCTGGGGCCTGGCATGGAGGTGGTGCCCATCAATAGAATTACATAATCTATCGTGCAACCCAGGAGTGCCTGGAAGCTTCTCTGGGTACCAGAGCAACACTGCTCATCTCCTTTACCTGCAGAAAGGACAGAAAAGGAGTCCAGCCCTACTCAATTCAACTCAAAAAAGCCACTGCTCCCCTACTGCTGCAAACCCTCAGGGTCCCGAGTGCCAGGTTCCAAACCCAGGCCAATCCCAGGGCCAGAGCAAGGCCCCTCAGTCAGAGGTTAGTGAAAATAAATATGTCATTTTTCTCCCACCCAAGTGCATGGATCCCCTGAATTTGATCCCAAATCCCAAGTTAAGAAGCCTGCGGCCTGTTCTAGGCTTTTCCTTAACCCTCAGTGAGGCAAAGCCACATCCCAAAGCCCAACAAGGCAAGGGAAAATGCAGGACAATACTGTGCCCACTCTGAGAAATTCACCCGAATCACCCTGGCTCCCTGGGCAGGGCCTGAACCTCTGCAGATACCATGGGCGGGACAAGCTGCATGGCAGGTAGGGCTGGGCCTGAGGGCAGAAGAGGAGCTGGGGGCCGATCACCTTCATGGTCTCTTCAAGTTGGAAGAGACCACCTCTTCCATAATTCAGCCATAATTTCCACCTCCTGAAGGAGAGGCCGGGCAGATCCATCGGGGCTGGGATTGGGGCCGGGGCCGGGACATGATGGACGGGGCATGCAAGTTTCTTACTCTGCAAAATATCCCCCCAGTGATGATCCAGAAGAACCGAGGTTCTTTGCAAGCTGCGCTCATTAGACAATTGCTTCTGAAGAGGCTGCCTCTTTCCCCACTAGGATTTACAGCCTTGGGTGTTGAGCAAGGGGCGGCTGCCACACACCTTTGGGGTGAATGACTCTGGGCTCATTCTTGTCAGTTCCTGGCCAAAGAAGTGTCCTTTGAAGGCAGGGAGACCTGGCTGAACAGCCAGGTGGAGGAGGCAGTTGGCTACCCTCTCCTTGCCCTTGGCAACTTGACAGCCCCCCCAGGCAGGCTCTCAGGATGCCAAAACCTCCAAGATGGCCTGTTTTCTTTCCCGCATCAGGCGCAACCAAGGAAAGCTCCACTGGCCATCTTGGGCCCAAAGTTTCCAGAGAGGCCTTGCCCCATCACTGATGGGGAGGGTGGCTTCTCCCCTCCCCAAGCCCTGTCCCAGACTCAGTCTGACCCCTGGGAGGCCAAGGAACATGGAGCTAGGCCTGCTGGGTAATGACTGGAAGCAACACCACTCCCAGCCCCCACAATGTAGCATATGGCTTGGTTTCAAATCCCAGTTCCACTGCTGCAACGTGGCGGCCATTCTCCCCCGGTAATGGGCTATCTGGGCGTTGGTCATGGTGTTTAGTGCTTTATGGAACTCGACCTCAACTCTTAACCCTGCTATCATTAAGCCTGTGTCAAGAGAATCAAGTGGTTTAACCAAGCTTGTACATACATGAGAGCCATACATAAGAGCTTGAACCCAAACCCAGGTGGGCCTAGCTCCAGAGTCCACATTCTGTCAGTTGCCACTGTATTGCCGCCTCCTCCTCCTACTAGAATGAGACCTTGGGCAAGTTACTGTGACCTCTGGGCCCATTTCTTCATCAGCAAGACGACGACAAGAATGTCTACCTCTCGGGGTCACTGCGAAGGTTAAAGGAGGTAATTATGCAAAGCACTGGCCAGTGAGCAGCACACAATCGGGGCTTGACAATTGCTTGACAAGAGGGGTTTGACAAGAGCCAGGATCTTGGCAGACGGTGGCTCTGCATGCTCCCAGAGAAGCGGGAGACAGGGCGGTGTGCCCAGGTTCCTTCCAACCCTGACCCAGCATGTAGAGGAAGAGGCTGCTACCTGTCTAATATCTAGGTTCCCTTTAGTCGTGTTGGAGCCCTGGAGTTTCCTCAGGGCACTTTCCAGTCCCGCTCGCAATCAGGCATGGATGTGACTGAGTTCTAGCTGCCAGGAGAATGCAGAAGTTATGGTGCAACTTCTGGGCCATGCCCTTAAAACAGGCTTGCCCTGCACTTTCTCTCCTCCCCTTCCCACTGGCTGGAATGCAGATGGGACAGCCGGGGCTGGGATGGCCAGGGTGGACCAGGAAACCGCTGCATTGCATGGAAGACGGCAGAGCAGGGAGAGAGGGGGTGGGGTGCAACGCTGGGGCCCCGTGGGCCACGGCCGGCTCACATTCACCCTGTGACTGTGTGACAGGGAACTTCACCTCTGCTGCTGTCTGAGCTGCACTCACAGGACTCCAGCTGGAGCCAACTTCTGGCTTTGGATGTGAAGCGCTGGCCAGAGTGAAGCGCTCAGGCCTGTATGGAAGTGGTGGCGTTCACCTGTGGTCCCCACCACTGCTGCAGGAGCCGACAGTGCGAGACGAGTCCTAGGACGCCCCTCCCAGGGCTGCACCTCTGGGCAGGGGGAGGGACGAGGCCCTCTGCTCTTGGCCCTTGTACACGCACTATACTCACCTCTGAGACAAACCCACTCAAGATCATTCCATTTTCTAAGGAATGTGACGTCACGCCCCTACGCCAGCATCAGAGCACTTCTTACACTGTGAAGGCGCCATTTGGATTTTGTGGGCCAGCACACCACTGAGCACCATGGAGGCCACCGCTGAGAGCCACCGTGCTGGGGCACCTCCGGGTTCCCGTTCACAGCACAGCCACCCCGCGCGCAGGCTGCGCCACAGCATGACCTTCTTGGGCTGCCCGCTGTCTGAGGGGCGCCTGAAGGTGAGACCACAAAACATAGAACACGATGTTTACTCCGCGGGCATATGCTTGAGCTCATGAGGTTCACGGTAACTATGAAAACACACAAGGAGGGCAGGTAGACCAGGACCCACAGTGCAACCAGTGGGCACAATGGTGCCGTGAGCTGGCGCTCAGACCGCAGAGCTGCCTCCTGGAGCCATTTTGCCCCTCTGAAAGGCGCTTGGGTTATTTTCAGACAAAGGAGCATCAACTGGAGGTTCTGCCTTTTCAAGTGGATGGAATGACATTCCCAGCTTCTATTTACTAGTTTCCAAGAGAGAATCGCCCTCCAGAGGAGGGGCAGACAGGATCAGGGCTCTCCACGGAATCAACTTCACGGCTTCTGAAGTAACTTCAGGAGGAGACAGGAATGGGGAGACCTCTCATCCGAGTGGGTCCCCCTTCCCAGCTCATGAGAAGGGCAGACGCCAGCAGGCAGGCCTGAGCCTTGGCTGGTGGGACAGGACTGAAGTCAGCCAACAGGAATGTCTCCAAGACTAACACCAGCACACAAGGCAGGCAAAGAATTTTCTCAACTCTTTTTATTAAGTTAGGAAACTGATAAAAACTCAACACAACTTTTGGGGAAAGCACCATGGCCCGTCCTTTGTGCTATGTGATAAGTGTTCTTTATCTCAATGAAGCAACGCCACGGGTCCAGGTGCACTCCCTGCAGCCCCCGCGGCCCGGCTCCTGAGTGTGCCAGCAAAGCCATCCCTGGGGACCACAGCCAAGTGTCTTCGGGCAACCGGCCTGACACAGGTGGGGTCTGCGGGGTCTATAGGGTCCAAGGAGCCCCATGTAGCCAGGGCCCCATGGTGGGGGGCGCATCAGTGGGCAAACCCTGCCCAAAGGTCCCACCCCCAAGAGGCCTCCAGGACCCGCACCAAGGCATGGGGACACTCAGGGCTGCTTAAGTAACTGGTTTGTGGCACAGCCCCCTCTGCAGCCCTAACCCTGAGCCAGTCAAGCAGTGTTCACACTGCAGGTGCCTGGGAAGCCACAAGTTTGGACACCCTACCCAGCCCCGTCAAGGCACCAACACCCTCCCCCTCAAACAGGGGTTAGGAGTGAGTGAGAGGCATTAGGATGGTCACTGACACGCACCAACCTCTCCACAGCCCAGGTGTCAGGGAGGTTCTGCTGAGGGACCCCAGTGATTCAGGAGGTGACAGCAATGAACAAATGTTCAGCAGTTCTCTCACGGCCATTCTTATCTTGGAGCTCAGGGCGCAAATGGGGGCCAAGATTCAAGAGGATGGTGAGGGCCCCATCACTGTCCCCCAAACTGAGACAGATGCGGCCCTGGTGGGGTCTGCAGGGGACTCCCTGGGGTCCCTCTGCTATCGCCAGCTCACAGCTGCCCCTTGTCTTGGAGGGCAGCATGGTCTCCCGGGGAGAAGCCCCCAGTGCTGTTGGCACGTGTGTACCACGGGCGTCACTGCTGCCTCTCAGGGTGGGCTCTGAGGAGGGGATGTGAGGGGTGACCCCCAGGGCACTCGGAGTCCTGAGTCTGCTGCAGGCCCAGCTCCACTGAGTGGCCAGAGCATCTGTGTCCCCACCAGGCCACAGCACTGGGCAAGGCCCTCAGTGGGTGGGCTGGGACTTACAGCTTTGTGGCAGGGGCCCACAAACCTTGGAGGTCTGGGTGTCCTTTGCTCTTATTAGCAAATAAGGCAATTAGCCTTATTGCCTCGTGGATGTCACTGAGGCCCCCCTGTAGTTTCTGCACCTTATAAAATCTGTCCTGGGTTCTCTGCTCATCAACCTTCTGGTCTCAACCCCTGGGAACCTGGTTTCCCAGGCCTGGGACACCATCTATAGACGGCAGTAGTGCCCCAGCAGGGTGGGCTGGGAGGAAAAGGATGTGTGGCAGTGCTGCAGCCCCGAAAGCCACCCGGGGCTCCTCCCTGTCCCTGCCTGCCCGGCCCCAGTCCAGGACCTGCCAAACAGGTGATCTCAAGGCTCTGCAGGTGTCCTCCCGACGCCGGGGTCAGTCCTGGTGGCAGTCCATGCCCCTCTGGGAGGTATGTCTTCCTATAAACCACTGCAAAGCTGAAGAGGCCCCCAGGGGCACAGATGCAAGAGATGCTTCTCTTCTTGTGCCTAAAGCTCCGAACCGCCCAAGGCTGCTGCTCCCCAGAGCTGGCGGGGCCCCTTCCACCTCTCGGAGAGCTGGTCCAGGACCCGCTTAGCTCCTGCTGTGGCACATAAGCCAAGGCCACGCTGTGACACTGAGGGCCGCGGGCTGTGGAAGGAGGAGAGAAAGAGAAAATCAATCAGTGGCCACATTGTTTTGTTCTACCTGATCTGAAACAAAATGACAATGAGGCAGCTGCCCATAAGGCTTGGGCATGAGAACGCTGGATCCACCATTCACCAGCAGCGCAGTCCGGTGATTCAGGCACCCCAGGCCTGCTTTCATCCGCCACACTCGGATGACTCAGGTGTCAACTTGATTGGATACGGGGATACCCAGACCCCGGGGATGCGTTACGTATTCTCAGTGCTGCAGCAGGCATGGAGCCTGGCCCTCTTCTCCTAGAAGGGAAACCCAGGCGGCCTGGCACTTGATTCGAATGGCTGGGCTGCCCCGGAGAGTCTGTGTGGGTGCTTCCAGAGGCAACCAGCGTCAGAGCCATGGCCCGGGTGGGGAAGATCTGCCCTTAGTGCAGGTGAGCACCACAGGATGGGCTGGGGCCCTGGTAGAAAAAAAAGCTAAGGAAACGGGAATTCAGGTTTCTTTCTTCTGGAGCTAGGTTGCTCTTTCTCTGCCATCGGGAATCAGAGCTCCAGGTCCTCTGGCCTCTGAGACTTGCTGCCCACCACCCCATCCCCACCCCAGGCTCTTGGTTCTTCGTAGCTGGGCTGAGGACTGCCCCCGGCTCTCCTGGTTCTGCAGCTTGCAGCCTATCATGGGGCTTCTCAGCCTCCATCACCAAGTGAGCCAATTCCCCTCACAGAAGTTCCCTCTCACATACCATCCGAGGCCCTGAAACGGGAAAAGGTGAGTCTTCTTACACAGGGGGGCGCGGGCAGGCAGAGCGCTCTAGCAACCCTGCGTGTTCATCCACTCCACGAGGCAAGGGGCCTCAGCAAAGCAGTGATTAATGGTGACGCTGTCCGGGGTTTTTGGCTTTGGCTGTATTTAACCTGTACGTGTTCGTTTTACAGTTGTGTAAGAACAAGAACATAAGGGGCTTTACTAGTTGCATGCTTGTGTGTATCTAAGTAACCTTAGTAACATTTCAATTAAAACACTGAAGCCAGCACTGAGGCTCCATGGGACTGTCCCCTTTAAGCGGGGTACACCTCTCCATCCCTCACAGTGCTGGGCCCTCTGCTCTCTGAAGGCTACTCTGCAGGAATGCTGCCCTCCCCAGGTGGTCAAGTTGTTTCCAGATACAGAGGCTGGGTTGGGTGACTGAGAAGGCCCCTAAATCCCTTCAAGCTCCTCACAAGTGTGAAGCTGGGGTCACAGGGGCCCTAACCATCCTGAGGTGCTCTAACACAGCAAACCCGAACCTTTGGGGCCTGGCTGCCCGGTCTTGGCCCTGTCCCAGCACGCCACATGCTGACATGTGGTCCCTACAGGGCAAGGCCTGTTACCTGGAACAGCCACCCCACCTACCTGGGGGTGTCCCCCAGGGCACCCTGAGTTGCTGAGAGGAATACAGATGACAGCCAGAAGCACAGGGGTTGGGGAGCCTCGGGGCCAGGCTCCTGTGTTCCCTCTCAGGCTGGGCCTTTTAATTTTTGGCAGGTGCTCCCTGGGCCTGGCCTCCTCATCTGTGAAACGGGCTAACCCTCCAGCCTGCAGAGGGGACAGGGGTCAGCGGCCGCCCTGCACTTCCTGTGTGCGGCAGGCCCTGGCCGACGTGTACCCTGTGGGTTGTTGGTGTAGGGCCTGCCCCGCTGGACGCAGCCTGCCCCATCGAGGGTGGGATGGTGCTATCCCCCAGGCTGGCACAGGAACGAATGACTGCTGACGCCTGGACGGACGGACTCCATCCTGGGCACTCGCTTAGCCAGGCCCAACCCTCGAGGCTGGCAGAAACCCTCAGGCCTGTGCTCTGGGATTTCCCATCTGTAGCAACTTCTTCTAAGACAGGAGGGAATGTGCCGCACTGTCCCTCCTGCAGCAGTGACAGAGCCCACAGTGGATTAATGAGCCCTGCCCTGCACCCCAGTGGCCAGGCCCCAAAAACACCTGTGAAGAGAAGACATGCTGTCGGCAGCTGGACGCCTGCCTTGCATTCGGCAGCCCCCCATGCTGGAGGCAGGTGGGAGAGAAGGGTCGGGGGGCTGCGCCTTAAAGGGCCTGGAGTAGGGGGTACCCAGTGGGAGAGAAGGAAAAGGAGAGAATGTTCACAGCAAGACCACCCTTAGTGGGTAACGGGGCCTCCTGTGGCCGCTGGCTACTGTCCCCGAGGCTGTGGATCCAACCGTAACACTGGAGCAAGGGCTGCCCTGGAGGTCACTCAGGTTCCAGCTCAGCAATTCCCCGCCGCTTCTGGGCAGCTGCTGGCCAAGCCTGTGCTCTGTGCCAGGGGCGCAGATGTGAAGATGCCCGTGGCCAGCTTCCCGGCACATTCAGGGCTCAAGTCCTGCTCCAGCCCTGACTCGCTGTTCATATGATGCCAACTGTCTCCCCTCTCAGAGTCCCAGCGGGTGCCCTATAACAGCAGGACCTATGACAAACAGCTGTGGGAATGACAGGGGACTCGATGCAGATGCTCACACCTACGACGAGTTCCAACAAGCAGCCAGGACAGGGAAAACAAATGCTTGTGGACAAACAGGGGCCATCATCTGGGGTGCAGAGGCCACAGTGTGCAGGGGACCTCCTGGTGGCTTCTGAAGCTTATCTCAGAGTCTTGCAGGATGGATGGAAAGGGGCCTCCAAGGACAGGGGCAGTTGGGCCCAGCATGGAGGCAGGAGACTCAGCCATGCTTGTGGGGACGAGCGAGAGCTGGACTTCTCACCAGCACCCTGATCCCCACTGCTGCCTGGGAGAGCAGAGTCAGGGAGGGGAACGTGGGGAGTGGGGTGGCCACAGAAGCCATCTCGGGCCCAGGCACTGCCAGAGGACACTCTAGGTGGCCGATGCGCTGGTTGGGGCTGCAGGCAGTGAGGCCCAGTGAGCAGCGCCACGGTCACCAGGAGGGCCCACCACGTGGGGGAGGTGGCAGGCGTGCTTTGTTTCCACCCTCCCTGGCCCCGTCCTTGTCGAGGGCGCTCCACTCAGCTCCCCGTGAGCCTTGTCTGGTTCCAGGGCTCGGCCCCTCCCACTCAGAGCCACATCACAGGCCCCGTCTGCAGCAGCCTGAGTTGGGGGCTCTCCTCCGGCTCAGCCCTGACAGCTCTGCAATGGCTGCCTGAGCAGCAAGAGTGGCCTGCAGCCACTGTGGTTCCACTTCCTGGGGACCTGGGAAAGGCCAGGCATGCCCGGGCGTCGGCTTCTGTGCTGCAGGCCCTTCTATGGAGAGCCCAGCTCACTCTCTGCCTTTGAAGAGAACTCGGACTCTGAGCTGTCCAGGCAGAAGCTGGACAGGAGGAGCTTTGCAGAGCATGGGAACAACCCAGGGTCATAGTGAGGGGACAGAAGCCACGGGACTGGGGCGGCCTCAGGCAAGGACGGGCTGCCGGAGTGTCTCTGGGTCGCTGTCAAGCCCATGAGAAAGCAGCAGCTGGAACGCAGGGCAATGGCAGAAACTTAAGAGCAACCTGGACTCAGCGCGGCAGCCGAGGAAGCACACAGCCCAGAATGCCTTGGGGACATGGCTCTGGGATGACAGGGTCTGGAAGTAGCTCCCCCATCAGGTCTGGGACTGGCTCAGTCCTGTGTGTCTGCTTCCTCATCCCTAAATGGAGCTGATGACAGCAAGTCCATTACAGACTGAGGACGACTCCAGTGGGCACAGGGCAAGTGCCCGCCGAGGAACAGCAGTCATGGGTGGACAGGCCTTTCAGAGGGAGGGGCTAAGCAGGGACATCTAGAGGCCCTTGCAGCCCACAGCACCCCAAAACCATCATCATCAGCATCTCCCTGTCCTCCATCGCTACCCCTTTTAAAGCTGCTTCTGAAACTGGCAATCATTTGATCTCTATTCAAGTGCTATGAGTAATGCGATTTCCACTCGTTGTCCGGATGGGGAAGCTGAGCCAGTCCAGGGTGAAGCAGCCGGAAGGTCACAACCAAGACACCAGGCATGCTCCCCTTCCGGGGCCCCTGGGATCAGAGTAATCCCTGGGAGAGTTCACCAGGTCCAGCCGACAGGGCAGGGCCCGGGGAGAGGGAGCCTCCAACCTGGAGGGTAGGCAGGGGGCAGTCTGAGCCTCCAGACGAGAGATGGTCTTAGCTGCCTGAGGCCAGCAGCATGGGTCCCTTCATCCTGCCCATCCCGGCTGGCCTGGGGTGGGAGGCACCTCCATTTCCCACAGGCAACATTCCCCAGGTTCCTAAATGACCTAGAGGACAGCAACAGGGAATTAGGAAATGCCAGTATCCTCTTGGAATCTCCTCAGGGAATCAAGAAATTTGGCAGGTCTGATTTTTCTCCAAAGAGAGCAGATTTAAAAAAACAAAAAAAAAAACCAGAATGCCGGGTGCGGTGGCTCATGCCTGTTATCCCAGCACTTTGGGAGGCCGAGGCGGGCGGATCACCTGAGGTCAGGAGCTCGAGACCAGCCTGGCCAACATGGTGAAACCCTGTCTCTACTACAAATACAAAAATTAGCTGGGCGTGGTGGCGGGTGCCTGTAATCCCAGCTACTCAGGAGGCTGAAGCAAGAGAATCGTTTGAACCCAGGAGGCGGAGGTTGCAGGGAGCCGAGATCGTGCCATTGCACTCCAGCCTGGGGGAGAAGAGCAAGATTCCGTCTCAAAAAAAAGAAAACAGAAAAGCTGTAAAAGAGAAAAGCAAGCCGGATGTGGTGGCACGCGCCTGTAATCCCAGCTACTCAAGAGGCTGAGGAACGAGAATTGCTTGAACCTGAGAGGCGGAGGTTGCAGTGAGCCGAGATCGCACCATTGCACTCCCGCCTGGGTGACAGAGCGAGACTGTCTCAAAAAAAAAAAAGAAAAAAAAGAAAAGCGGTGTTCCTATTCAGGCTGGCCTCTGTGAGCCCAAACACCCTGTGCTCACCAGCTTGATGCTTGTTCTTGGGCTCTCCTTGCCTGCCACCGTGTTCCCTTATGGACTCGAAGGCTTGGCTGGGTCTGAGTTAGCGGCTGAGCCAGCAGCTTCCATTGAGAAGCAATCCCAGCTAAGAGTGGCCGCCTTCGCTGGGTACAGCTTTCAGCATTTGTATCAGCAGCCGCTGGCTCACTGAGGAAATTAATGTTTCAGCTTGGGCCAGCTCCTGACAGGGTTCCTATGACCTCAAGCTGAGCCCACACACAGGGATCAGTGCCACCACCCAGTGCCGCAGGATCGTGGGAAGCGGCTCGGCTCCCTCCGGCAGGAAAGCTCATCTTCCACAGTCTCTTCTTGTGCTGGAGGTAGAGTGCACCCAGGGATCTCCTGCCCCTATCCCAGGGGTGAGGGGCCCAGGAAAGCATGAGCCGGGAGAATGGCCAAGGGTTAGTGGCACACACCCTGGCCTTTCCCAGGCCCTAACCACAGAGAGCATGTTGGGCACAAAACCCTTCTCTGGCATCTACCCCAGTACCCTACCAGGCTGGCCGGGATACCCTCTCTCATGGCAGGACCTCACGCCGATCCTGCCCCTATTTGCTGCGGGAAGACCCTGCCCCCAGCTCAGCTTCTCAAGAGATTAAACCAGCACCAGATGAGACGTTCCTCCCGCCCGTTCCTTCCCCTCACCGCAGGGTCTGCAGGGCCTGGCTCGAGTTGCTCCCAGTGTCTCTGTCCCACCATCACCTCCCAGAGTGCCTTGTGTGTCATCTGTTTTCATAGCGATTCCACACAGTGACAGTGTGGCAGCAACCCACGGACACTTGCTCTGCAGGAAGCCCTGCTCCAAGGCCCCCGAGGATGACCTCGCTTAAGCTAGATGCCTGCTGGTTTTGAGGAAGGACTTCTCCCCATCCCTTGCACGCTGGTGAGCATACAGCTGCCCCCAAAAGAAACAGCACTCAAACCAAGGCTGTCTGTTCTGCAGGCTTTGGTGTTTACAGTTCTTGGGGGGACTCCACCATTTAGACATGGATGTCATGCCCGGTTGGCAATCTTTTTTTTTTTTTTGAGGCGGAGTCTCACTCTGCTGCCCAGGCTGGAGTGCAGTGGCATGATCTTGGCTCACTGCAGCTCCACCTCCCAAGTTCAAGTGATCCTCCTACCTCAGCCTCCCGAGTAGCTGGGATTAAAGGTGTGCACCACCATGCCTGGCTCATTTTTTGTATTTTTAGTAGAGGCGGGGTTTCACTGTGTTAGCCAGGATGGTCTCGATCTCCTGACCTTGTGATCCACTTGCCTCGGCCTCCCAAAGTGCTGGGATTACAGGCATGAGCCACCGCGCCCAGCCAGGACTGACTTTGAACATTGCCCAGGCTGGTCTTGCAGTAGGCTCAAGTCATCTGCCCACCTCAGCCTTCCTCAAGAGCTGGGATTATAGGCATGAGCCACTGTGCCCAGGCCTGGTTGGCAATCTTCATACATATCATTACTCATCAGTGCCAGGAGAGTAACACTGTCCTGATTCCATGGGGAGGGGGCCATTCTCCTGAACTCTGCCTTAGTACATGTCTCTTCCCTTGGCTCATCTTAATCTGTATCTTTCCCTGTAATAAACTGGAACTGTGAGCGTAGCAGCCTTCGGCGACTTCTCTAAGTCCTTCTGGCAAAATTGACCAAGCGTGGTTTGGGAGGCCCTCTTTGTTGCACCTGGTGTCAAAAGTAAGAGCAGGCTTGTGTGGAGACTGCACCCTCCGACTCTGCAGGTTGACCTATGCTCCACACGGCACGTCAAAATGTCCCTGGGTGATTCTGAAGTGTAGCCATGTTTGGGAACTACCATGTTGGTCTAACTACGGTTACTGTCCCTATTCTGCAGACTGGTTGAATAATTTGCTCCAGGTTAACTGCAAATAGAAGGCAGAGCCAGGAGTTGACTCCAGAGCACACCAGCCACCTGCTGCCCACCCAGACCTCCCTGGAAGACACGGTGACCTTCACCCAGACTGAGAAGAGGTGGGACTGCATTCCCCCATGACCTTTCCAGATCCAGAATAGCCGTGGGCTGCCAGGGGCTCACCTGGCTGGGCTCAGCAGGTGCTCCTCACGCGGGCAGGTGCTTCCAGGTGCTGACAAAGGCCGTGGGGATAAGTGAGTAGGGCACTGTGGTGATGCAGTTCCATGTATCTGAAGTGGGGTCATAGCAGTCCAGAGTCTTACACCTCTGGGTCCCAAAGTAGCCCCCAACCACATAGAGCTTGTTGCCGGACGCCAGGGCATGGCAGGACATGCGCTTGGCAGTCATGTCCCCAATCCGTGTCCACTGGTTGGTCTCACAGTCAAAGCGGTAGGCCGAGGCGGCCGTGAATTCCGTGTCACCTCCCATGATGAAGATCTGGCTGCCCAGGACGGCAGCGGCTGTGTACCGCCACGGCTGGGGGCACTCAGCCTTGATCGTCCACCTGTTCTCCGCGGGGTCATAGCACTGGACCTTGGACACCATGTCCCGGTGGATGCTGGTTCCTCCAAACACAAAGAGCTTCAGCTTAGCACTCACTACTGCGGCATTGCTGACGCCATCCCTCAAGGGGGCCACCATCATCCACTTGTTGGCCCCAGGGTCGTATTTCTCCACTTGTTTCAGGGAGACAGAAGGGGAGGCTGGGAAGACGCCTGCCAGAGAAGTGTGTCCCCCCACCACATAGAGGCAGTTCTCCAGCTCCGCTGAGCCATGACCAAAGCGGGCAATCAGCATGGGCGCCGCCTTGGACCATTCCTCATGTACGGTGTCATACACCCAGACGTCCTTGGAGACCCCATTCTCGGAGCCCCTGCCCCCTGTCACATAGACCTTGCAGCCGATCGCTGAGGCGCTGAACTCCTTCCGGGGGCTGGGCAGGTCGGCCTTGGGGATGATCTCCTTGGCCTTGTGGTCCACCTGGTAGATCTTGTCACACATGAAGGTCTGGCCCCCCAGGATGAGCAGCGTGTGGCCTGCTTTGCGTGGCCGGGCACAGGGGCTGGTGACCACGCCGTCATTCTGCAGGATCCTGGTCTTGCAGCGCAGGGCCTCGTCTATGATAAGCTTGGTGCGCTCGTCCGCCATGAGAAGTGCCTCGCTGGAGACGGCCTCCTGCAGGCAGTCAGACGGCAGCAAGGCCAGGCGCACGCTGCGGAGGAGCTCGGGCAGGTGGGCCTTCCGCGGCTCCAGGTCGTGCTTCACCCACTGGAGGATGGCCTCGAAGACCACCCGCTCATCCTCGGTCTCCAGCTCATCACTCGAGATGAGGTCCAGCAGCGTGTCCTTGGACAGGGTGTTGAAGTCCTCGCTCTGCCGCACCGTCTCAAAGTGCACCAGGCACATGCGCCAGGAGAACTCGTACAGCCGGCGGCACTGGTGGGCGTCCGAGAGCAGCATCATGCCCAGGCAGTTGGAGGGGAAAAGGTTCTTCTCCAGGAACTCGGCGGCGGCGTCCCGCACGTCGTGGAACTGCAGCATGTCGCCCGCCTCCAGCAGCGACTCAGCGTTCTCCTCGTTAATGGCGATGCGTGAGGAGTAGGCAAAGTCCAGCAGCAGCTCCAGCACCTCCGGGTGCAGGTTGTCCTGGAAGTTGACAGTGTCGTCCCGGCTCTCCCGCAGGCCGTGGCTGAACATGGCCTCAAAGTAGCGGCTAGAGGCGGCCAGCACGGCACGGTGACAGGGGAAGGCACGATCGCCCGCCCAGAGCGTGACGTCAGTGAACATGCAGTGCTTGCGAAGCGTGTTGAGGTGGGCCAGCACGCAGTCCGGGTGGGAGGCCTTGTGGAAGAGGGTGACGTTCATGGACCCCGTGCTGCTCCGCGACTTGCGGGTCTCATGGACGCTGACCGACATGGTGCACCAGCCTGTGGGGGAACGAGCCCACAGGTCAGCGGAGCCCCTCCTGTCCATCTGCCCTCTCAGGACTCTCTCTTCAGCATGAGCCCCCTTGCCCCCTCCCACCCACTCCCTGCTCACCTCTGCTAAACCAAGTCCCTCTCCCGCAACCACGTTGCCAAGGACAACATAGGCAAGAGTGGCTGGGTCTGACCCTGCAGAAACTGGTTTTGTTCTCAGGGTATGGGCCAGCTCTGGGACAAACATCTTTGGCCTGCAGATGAGCCACCCCCTAGGTGAGCTAGAGTTGAGGCTGCCTCCCATGGTTGAGAGAACACGCAAACGGTGTCCCTGACTCAGGCAGGTGTCCGGGCAGTGCTAAGTAACTGGTGCCTTTGACCACATTCCACCCTCATGACAGTCCTCTGCAGAAGCTTCTCCTGTGAGTCCCATTTTAAAGCTAGGGAAGCCACAGCTCAGAGAGGCAAAGAAACTACCCAAACCGCCACAGCCAGGATTCTCATACGGGCTGTCCGGCTCTGGAGCCTGATCTCTGTTCAAGGTGACTGATCCCTGCAGGGTTTGCTGTGGACACCCAAGTAGAGCCTCATGTACCCGCTCCCCTGCTCCCAGCAGGCTCTGCCCTGGGCTGGTACTGGCTAGACATCCCCCTAGCCTTGGAACAAGAGCTGCCATCAAGGCCCAAGTGCTCAGTGGAGACATGTTCTCTGAATCCAGGTGTCCCCACAGGGCTCTTCACTTAGCTGGGGCAAGTGATGGCCTGGAGGTGGGGCCACAAGTGACTCACCCTCAAGACCAAGGCAGAGGCCCAAGATGACAGCAGGACATGCTGAACACTAACTGAAGTGATCCAGATTTGCCTCAGCCAAAGCAGAGAAACATGCAGCCAGAGCGTCCCGGGTCCCCGACTGACTCCAGGACCCTGAGTCAATGCGACGCCTCCCCTGCCTCCCTTGTCTGCCCTTCTCCCCCAGGCCTGGGGACCGGGTGCTCAGAGTGATGGAGCGATGGTCTGTGCCAACAAACAGGTTCGCTGCCTGCTCAATCTAGGGGAATTCCAAAGCACTGTCATTAACGTCCAGTGAACAGCATGACCCAAGGCCCCAGTTCAGTACTGAGAACTCAAGGGTCAGACAAAACTCATGCCTAGAGAAATTATGGCCAACACCTTTGATGCCATCTCTAAGACCACAGCTACCTGCCCCCTGACCTGTGGAAGGAGACTGTATTCAACAAGTCTCCCGATCAGGAATTCTCTGACCACCTTGTCAAGACCCTCACCAGAGTCTCCGTGCTGCGGACCCAGGCTCCAGCTGTGGCGACAACAGGGTTTTTACACAAGAAAAATAAAGTGAATTAAGCCTGGAAAAAAAGAAAAAGAAAAGAAAAGAAAAGAAAACATGGCCAAAACGCAAACTGCATTCCAGCATTTTGACCCCCTAAAAAAGCCTGTGCTGCCGTCTTCCTGCTGGTAATGGGGCCAAGAAAAACAAAAAACCCTAAACAACAAAGTTTTTCATTTTTCATTTTCAAAAGTATGTAACTCCCCTGCCGCCTCCCACTCCAAGTCAATTTTCTACTTACCTGGTAAAGGTAGGAAACGACTTCATGCTTCAATGAAATTGCAAATGAGTGTCCGACTACATGGCTCTCTCTTGCTCACTCCTCCTCTGGCAAAGAGGCAGAGAAGCCACAAACTGACAAGATTAGAGCTAGGCAAGGTCCCTGCTTTTGGGCTTAGGCAGAGAGGGCACAGCAGCCGTACTGGCCTTGCTGCTTGGGCCCCCAAGCTCCAGGCAGACTGCAGACTGAGGACCTGCCTAAGGCACTGCTGTCCAAACCTGCAGCCCACAGGCCACAGGGCTCCGATGCTATGAGGTTAGCCCTTCTGGGGGTTGAGGCGAGAGCACTGGATGCAGGTCCAGGCTGTATCCTGACTCCACCTCCATCCTGCACCTCACTATTATTTTCTTGTAAAGTGGGATCTCTATCCTATGCAGACCTCCACAACTCACTTGTTGGCAACTATTTCCTGAACGCATCCTAGATGCAGTGGCACAGAGCCTGAGAGGCTGCGCTGACCTGGTCTAAGGGAAGCTTTGCCAACAGCTTAGTTCGTGACTGATCGGAATTGCCCAATCTGAATTCCAGACTCTTCGATATTTCCCCAAATCCTGCTGTGATTGCTAAACCCTCACTCCAGTTTCCAAACTCCAGATCACCCCCTTGGTGATCAAACAATTTCCCAAATGTGGCTCTGTCCCCTCCTGCCCCACCCCACAGTGTCAAGACATTTTAAGAGGCATTTGTTGCCTCTGGTCTGCAGACTGTGCTGGGGGAAACATCGAGAGCCAAGGACCAGGAAGAACTCTAGTTCAAGCCCTGGGACTCCTAAGCCCAAGCCCTCTCCACTGAGGTCACGTTCAAGGACCCTGATGCTGAGGTTCGGCCTCAGTTCCATTATCAACACACCTGTGCTTCCCAGGGCCTCCCTGCTCTAGGTCCCTAGGCACCTCATCACACCTGCACCTGGCCCTGCCGGGAGGGAGGCTGGTTCTGAGCTTGGGCTGAATGGCACCGTGAATGCCTGGGCTTGGACACTCCAAGTGTGGGGCCAAGCCCCTCTGGGATTCTTCTTACAGACAGCCCCAGCTCGAATCCCAGCTTCTCACCTTAGTAACTACGGCCCTGGAACCAACACACCTAGAACTAACTCCACTCTGGGCCACTGTGTTAACTGGGCTGCCTGCGAGGGCACCCAGGCAGAGACTCCCTTTGGAGGGGGTTATGGGCAGGACAAAGTAAGACTCAAAAGACCGAGAGGGCCAAAAAGCAGGGCAAATTGAAACAAAGCAGCCACAAAGGTCCAGAGAAGGAGACAGAGCAGCGACCTCTCCAAGCCAACACTGAGCGGCAGCCCAGGGTCCCAGAGCTGACAGATATCCTGCCAAAGTCAGTGCCAAGAATGCCTGCCTGCTGACGCAGACACTGGCAACTCATGTACATACCCAGGCAGGTTCCCACCCCCTTAGAGAGCCGCCAGCCTGGGACACCTCTGTGCCAAGGACAGAAGCACCTGCCAGTTGTTTCCCCGGTTTGTCCCATCTCCTTCTGGGCAGGGCTTGCCCCGAGCCAATCTTCCACTGATGGCAGCCACTCACTCACCGACTCAGCCTGATCCCAAGTGAGGCACTGGAGCCTCACTTTACAGGCAAGGATGCTGAGGCCCACACAGGTTCTGGGCATGTTATTTGTGTACTGTCTCCCCAACTGCACAGGAGGCCCAGAAAGGCAGGGACCATGTGTGGTGTTCACTGATGTGACCTCAACACCCAGGACAGATCCCAGCACAGAAGTCACTTGATTTGATGGCATGGACCTGTCCATCTCTTCCTATGTCCATGATGAAGCCCTGAGGCACAGCACACGAAACTCATTCACATCACCTCCACCATGACTGCCAGCCCAGCCACTTGCAAGACTCAGGAGAGGAAGGCCGAGACGGTGGCGAATGCTGCCCAGGTGGCTGCGACACCTGACATGTGGTAGACACGTGGCATTTCACTCGTGCCAGCACAATGCCGCCGCCTCCTCCTCGCACTCACACCCTGACTGCTCTCTGGGAACCACCTGCCTCCAGGCAGCCCGGCGGGTGGGATCCCAGGATGGGCACTGGGCCCCGGGGATCAGGTGGGGTGTGCATGCGAACCAGGCCTGTCGGCTAGTGTCACCTCCCAAACACTGCGATGGGGCCTACACCCGGGACAGACCAGTGGGATTCTCTACGAAGACGTTCCCTGGAACTTTGGGGAATGAAGCAGGCCCTTTCCCCAGGACTGTGGACCGGACTGGACCAGGGTTGGGAGTGGGAAGGAGTGACGGCTGTGTTGCCACCTACCCAAGATGGAAGCCTGTGCAGAGGGCCGAGTGGAGCCCTGTGGTCCCCCAGTCTGCCCCCTTTTGCTGAGGCCTGTCACATAAGGACTCACAGGGTCATCAGTGCCCTGAATTGGTGATCAGGGGCTGCCTGTCTCAGTAGGGGGTCTCAGCTGTGTGTGTCCCTCCACCCCTTCCATCCAGCACCCAGGAGGAATGGTTGTGTGTGATTATTTTCAGTTGCTCAAGATGTATGTGTTCAGTATCAGTGGCGTACCCAGCCTCACAGCAGGGCTTGGCGATGCAAAAGCAGCCTAAGCCAGAGGCTCCCCGTGGCAGGGGGTGGGGAGCATGTGAGAGGGCCCAAAAGCAGGCCCCAGGAAGCCTCCCTGTGCCCACGGCCCACGTCTTTGGGGCCATAATCAATCAGACAGTTCACACTGCACTCTGCACAGATCACAGAATTGTTCTGATGACCTAAGCACGGTCCTGAGCTTTGATGGATGTAAAGCATATAGTGTAACTGCACAATGCTGCAATGCCACAAACCAGCAATCCTTCACCCTGCTACGAGGTGTGGACCCACCTTGGACAGCGCTGCTCCCCAGGCAATCCTTACCTACAGACTCGGCTAAAATGTACCCGGTAACAATGTGCCCAGCTCCCTTCTCCGGAACATCTTTGGAAAGTTAAATGCACGAGGAAACAAAGTAGCCAAGGGGTGAGACTTTCTGAAGAAAACTTGCCACATTCACAGAAGATTCCAGTGACTGAAAGCGAAAGGCCTATCCTGAGAGACATAGGAACCAGGATGCCATCAAACTGCTTTTTCCGTGCCACTCTCAGGAAGGCCTGACTTAGTCTGGCTGCAGCACTAACCCCTTCCCACCTGCCTCCACTAACCAAGAGTTAGCAAGGCTCAAAATGAGGGTGTCAGCTCCATCATTCTTCACTAGACGATGGGGAAACAAGAGAGGCACAGGGCTCAGCCTGCATAGTCCCCAGCCATGAACAGCTCAAATCATCTCCGGAGCTCAGGGCCACGGCCAATCCGTATGGCCCCCTGTACAAACTGAAAACCCCTCCCCACTCCCACAGTGCGATTCCTTTTTTTTTTTTTTTTTTTGAGATGGAGTCTAGCTCTGTCGCCCAGGCTGGAGTGCAATGGCGGGATCTTGGCTCACTGCAACCTCCGCCTCCCGGGTTCAAGTAATTATCCTGCCTCAGCCTCCCGAGTAGCTGGGATTACAGGCGCCCACCAACATGCCCAGCTAATTTTTGTATTTTTACTAGAGACGGGGTTTCGCCATGTTGGCCAGGCTGGTCTCAAACTCCTGACCTCAGGTGATCCACCTGCCTTAGCCTCCCAAAGTGCTGGGATTACAGGCATGAGCCACCACGCCCGGCCAGTGTAATTATTTTCGGTTTGCCTGTGTACCTGCAGTGTACCAGTCTCTGGGTTAGCAGGAAAGCACCTTTGTAAACTCAGAAAAGCCAAACCTGGTTTTTGGGCTTTTTGACAGATGTGGCTCTGGGCCCAAGCACAAGACTTAGAGAGGAAAATGCAGCTGAAATTCAGCCTGCATGAGGCTGGGTACCCTTATGTAGTGAACAACCTGCACAGTGGTTCACGGCCACCCTGCAGGAGCCGACGCTGACAGCAACCCAAGACACGGCCCTTCCTGGCACCAAGTATGCACTGGGTGCATCGGAGTCAGGATTCCACCAACAATGACTTCATGAAAACACAGAGCTGCAAGGACCTCAACATGTCCCATTGCCACGACTTCCATCATTCCCATTGTATTGATAAGGAAACAGACTCAAGGCCACATTCTCGGAACTTGGGCCTGACTACAGACTCTGAGCTCTTAATTCCTCAGGAAGGCGGACTCGTTCAGTAAGCAGTGGGAGGAAAGGAGATGGAAAGATGAACTCCTCGCTCTCCTGTCCCCTCCTGAGGGTTGGCAGCGCAAGCTAGGTAGGATGCACCAGCCACCCGGCCTGATGTCCCCTGCCTGGGTTTCGGAGGCTGTGGGGGCAGCAACCATGCATGAGGGCACCCAGCCAGGTTGCTGCCTTTCAATGGCCCGTTTAAAAAAAAAAAAAAAAAAAAAAGTGGCTGGGCATGGTGGCTCACGCCTGTAATCCCAGCACTTTGGGAGGCTGAGGCGGGCCTATTACCTGAGGTCAGGAGTTCCAGACCAGCCTGGCCAACATGGTGAAACCCTGTTTCTACTAAAAGTATAAAAATTAGGTGGACGAGGTGGCATGCGTCTGTAGTCCCAGTTACTTGGGAGGCTGAGGCAGAATTGCTTGAACCCGGGAGGCAGATGTTGCAGTGAGCCAAGATCATGCCACTGTACTCCAGCCTGGGTGAAAGAGAGACTCTGTCTCAATAAATAAATAAATAAATAAATAAATAGCAAAAAAAACCCCTTTATGCATATTTATTCAATATTGTATGTATCTTGTTATTTAAAATGTAACTGATCCAAATTATTTATATTTTTCAGTGTGCATATTTATTTAGTTTGATTTTATTTCATCTTTTTATTGTGAAAAGATCTGAGACTGGGCGTGGTGACTCATGCCTGTAATTCCAGCACTTTGGGAGGCTGAGGCGGGAGGATCATGAGGTCAGGAGATGGAGACCATCCTGGCTAACACGGTGAAACCCCGTCTCTACTTAAAATACAAAAAATTAGCCAGGCGTAGTGGCGGCGCCTATAGTCCCAGGTACTCGGGAGGCTGAGGCAGGAGAATGGCCTGAACCCAGAAGGCGGAGGTTGCAGTGAGCCGAGATGGCACCATTGCACTCCAGCCTGGGCGACAAAGCGAGACTCTGTCTCAAAAAAAAAAAAAGATCTGAAACCTGCAGTGAAGTCACAAGAATTGTGAAATGGCACCTTCTGGTCTCAGGTGGACAGTTTGCTAGGCAGTATTCAGATCTCCTAGCCCGCAGCCTCACCCCCGCTTCCTTGCCTCACTTTGGCCCCCATGCCTCCCGCACAGGAATGGGCTGCCCATGGGGCAGTTCTAGAATGGAGCAAGGATCAGGGAAGGCCTGAGGATGTTTGCTTCAGACAATGCTTGGTAATAAATGGGCTTCCCCTTCAGGCAATCCCATGAGGTCCCTGCATCAAACAGCTCCCAGCCAATGCCCACCCCAATAGCACAGAACCACAGCCCTGCTGCAGCCTCTGACAGTGCACGCAGTGAGACCACCTGGCTTCACCTGCTGTTCTGAGGTCAAGATCAACACTGCCAACAACCAATGCTCTCAAACTTGTGTCTCCTTCCCCACCCAGACACAGACACAGTCTCCCTTGTGGACAATGAATCAGAGGACTACTCTCTACATGGCTACCCGTCAGCCTGCAGCCAAAGCCTGGAAAGTGAAGGGAGGTCCCGACAGACCTAGAGGGCCGGCCAATGTTTCAGTGCCTTCTCCACATGCTCCAGCCTTTTTTCTTAACGCACCCAAACATTAAGCACACTTGAAGGGCAGCCACTTTAACTTCCAGGATCGACCTCCGAGTCCCAGGGTGACTGCAGCCGCTGGTCACCAGGGAGTGGGAGCTGTGATTACAAGTTGAGATGGATGCCTTCTCCACTCCAGAGGAATGGGTCGGGCAGTGCACCATGCTGGGTCCTAAACAGCTTGGTGAAGCTCTTCTTCACAAAGAAGGCACAGAACAGGAGGTAAGGGGTCAAGGCCTGTGAAACTGCTGAAAGATGAAGCAACACTTGCTGCTAAAAATGAATAGGGGATTCTGTCCAGGAAGGGAGCCAAATCAAATGCACGACTATCATGTACCTGATACTGTGCTAGGCATTTTACATACAAAATTTAATCCTCACAACCAAGCTCAACATGGTTATGACTTTCTGTCTTAATCAGGACAGACAAGGTTCTATCGCAGCAAGGAACAACCCCCAAATCTCAGCAGCTGTACAGGAGAAAGATTTTATTTCTTGCTCATACTATTAATACATGCATCATGGTTCAGGCAGTGATGAGTGTGCTCATCAATCCCACTCCTAGGAACCCAGATGACAGAGCTGCCACCATGTCACCAGTCACTATGCCACAGGGCGGAGAGAGAGCTCTGGAAAGCATAGCACTGACAATTAAATGCTTGGCCTGGAAAAACACACAGCACTTCTATTCACATCTCACTGGCCAAAACCAGCTACACGCCTTCACTCACCCACCAGAGAGCCAGAAAATCCAATCCTGCCATATGCCACACTATTTCTGTAAAAAATCTACCGATAAGAAAATAGAAGCTCGCAGGTTAATGATAATGGCAACAACAGTGCTAATCACAGTTGCTTAGTACGATATGCTGGGCACCATCTCAGCGCTTCGTGTGTGAACTCACCTCATCCCTACTCAGCCTTAGGTATAATCATGGTCTGCATTTCACAGCTTAGGAAACTGGGCAGGGGGATGTTAGGCAATTTGCCCAAAGCTACGCAAGGAGTGGGGGCAGAGCCCAGGGCTCTGTCTTGTTGAGTCTGTTCCCACAACTACACTATGTGAGCTCACTGGCCCAAGACTGGGGAAGGGGTGGTGTTCAAATCCAGGCCATCCCTCTCTTTGCTGAGCACCAAAGGGGACAGAAGAGAGGTCTGTGGGGCCTCAGCCCTGTGTCCACCAGCAGGTCCCAGCACCAGGACACTGTCCTCTCCGTCTACCCCTTAAGCAGTCCTTCTCCACCAGCTTCTGTGCAACCAGGACAGTGGGATCCTGAAGAGGATTAAGCTCCCAGGCCCCATGATATCAACTTCTCTCCTGTGGGTCACTGGTCCTAGTAGGCAGCAGCCTCTGTGATGACATGGGGAATCAGGATTGAGAAAGTTCACCCTAGAGAAAGGACCTATCCAGGACTTGCCCAGCTACTCGAAGGCAACGTATGGATTTGGCCAGCTCCTCACCAACAATTTTTTTGTTTGTTTGTTTGTTTGTTTTAAAAGAGAAGCCATCTTGCTAAGAGGAGAAGCCAGCAGAGCCCTCACATGGGAGGAACTGTCCAGGCCACACATCCAGCCCGGGGCAGGTACAGATAGAAGCAGCCATGGATGGGCAGCACCCGCCTTTCTGCCCAGCATCCTGTCTTCTTGAGTGGGAGCTCTGCAGACCAAGGGAGAGAGGCCAAGAGCCTCACCCAGGAGCTCCACTGTGTTGTCTTTTACTGACATAACAGTGAGAAGCAAGACAGAAAAGACACTAATGCCCTAGAACCACACCGCCTGACCAGGGTGAGCAGGGAGGAGGCAGTGGATGGGGACACACAGCTTAGTTCTTGGGGAATGAAAAACTCTTCTTCATCGTATGTATAAGGCATAGATATATACGCGGTATTAAAATGCAATGAGGAGGGTGGGTGTAATTAGGAAAAACATGTCTAAAAAGGCTTAGGGGTGGGGGGTGCCAGCAAGATTGAGAAACACTGCAAACACAATGACTATTTTCACTTTGGCTTATTATGTTGAGCTTTTAATCCAAAATAAACACTTTGAAATTACTGCAGTTACGGAATACTATTTTACACTGGTTTTACCTCAACTTTTCACAGTTGCCATTTTCCTACCCTTCCCTCACTACTGAACAAAGACTGATTAGGGGTCTGCCAAGTGCAGACACTGGGGACCCAGCCTTCTGGAGCCCTCACGAACCTCAGTCTAGTGTCTTTGTGGTTGTCAACTGTAAACTGTAATGTCCATGGAAACATCACTATGGCTTACTAATCCATTCACCCATAATTTTCTGAATTTTTATCCAAGGAAAAAATAATGCCTTTTGCTTCTGTTGGTTCACTGTATTCTCTTGAGATAAATCCTTTCGAGAAAAATTTTTTTATGTCACACTGTCCTAAAAGTTCTATTTATCAGGCAGGCCACCCGCAAGCCACACTTAAACCCCCCTGCAACGAAGAGGCTTCTTTCAGCTCAGGAGGGGTGGTGGCCCCTCTGAATCTGCCAAGGCAGATGGAAGGTGCCGCCTGGCTTCTACCTGCCGCATCCCAACCCCCTCAGCCTGGAGGCGCTGCTCAGGCTTTCTCTGGACCCCAGAGCTGGGAGTCATCTGCAAGCCC